CCTTTCAGCCGTGGGGGCGTTATAATGTGCGATCGATCCCACTATTCGTTGGTAAAAGAGTAGCCCAAGAGTTGGCGGTAGGTGGTGATGACTAGCTGCCTCCCCTCTAGTCTTACACTGCTAAATTAGGGACAGCTACCACAGATAGACCTCGTGTAGCTTTGCGCGAAATCCCAAAACAAACAAACCTACTCTCTCAATTAATACTGTATAACCAGATTCACGTAAATTAATCAACTTTCATAAATAATTTATCTCGTTTCTTTTATTACCAACATTTGGCACACACATTCGATAAAATAAAAGTAACTTATAATTAATACTAGTATTTTTGTTAGGAGTAATAATAAAGAAATTTTCTTATAAAAGTTATACAGCAATTAAATAACTGATAATGTTTTTGGATACTTGTATATTTTAAACTACAGATGGCACTAAACAATATATTTGAAATACGGACTTGCTCGATATTATATTTTTTCAGTGACTTTCAAAATGGCGGTTAATGCGAGTTTAGAGTCTGTGTTAAGTATAGATGAAATCAAGTTAATTCCCCCCCAGTTAGTGTCAAGGCTTGAAAATCACTTAAATCAAAATTTACAAAACATCGAAAGTCTTAAAAGTCAAAACATTCAGTTACGAGCTAGCTCAGGTAAGGTTACAATTGGTATTTGTATTTCTATAACAATAACACTTTAACAGTGATGCTGGTAATGATATAATTTATAGTTATGCTGCATTAACACGTTGATTGCTGGCGTCATATATAATATATATCAATCAATATATATATATATATATACAGCTTACACTGTTAGTGTTACAGTTAATTTATGTAAGTTGCAGTGATCGGTAGGCACACTCACATTATCGTTTATACCAGTTATCATGAAGGCTTCATCCAAAACTTTTCATACGTGTTATAAATGTATACCACTACTACTGTGTACCACAGTACCAGGTGTCTGTGTAATAGTACTATTATAACGATATATAAAACTGTAAGTATAGAGTGTAGTGTTAGGTATATGCAAGCTACGTGATTTACGTAGATCAAATACAACTACGTTACACTTAGAGTGTAATTTACACTGTTACAGTTAAGACTGTCACCAGTGTTAACAATAACGGTAAATTGAATATCACATATTTTATATTTTATTTACATTATGTTACATTGAAAATTAAGAGAAACTATGGATTTCTTTTTCTACACGAAACCACTTGTGGAATGTTTGTTGAAATTTTAATCCACAGATTTCATGAGCAGTATCACTGTAGATAGTAAATGTACATACAACTGAAAGAGAGTAAAGATACAAGGGGCATGATCTTTATACGATACTAATCTAAAGTAACAGAAGATAAATACTTTTAGTGTTAATTTATTGATGCTCTAGTTATTCAAATCTCTGTAATAATGTTACTAAACTACATCTATGTTTATAATCATCCAACAGCAGAACCACTAATATTATTATTAGCCATTTGTTTATTAACAAGCAGACTAAGTGGTGTTGGACATTTTAGTATCTTCAGTCCAACTTGACAAAACTTACAAACCACAGGTTTATGATGTGTTTTCAGATGAGCGTGTTAGGGTTAATTAATTTAGAATTTGTAGAATATTAGTAACTACCACAGATATTTCAGATGAGTCTGTTAGGGTTAATTAATTTAGAATTTGTAGAATATTAGTAACTACCACAGATATTTCAGATGAGTCTGTTAGGGTTAATTAATTTAGAATTTGTAGAATATTAGTAACTACCACAGATATTTCAGATGAGCCTGTTAGGGTTAGTTAATTTAGAATTTGTAGAATATTAGTAACTACCACAGAGTTTTTAGATGAGTCTGTTAGGGTTAATTAATTTAGAATTTGTAGAATATTAGTAACTACCACAGAGTTTTTAGATGAGTCTGTTAGGGTTAAGTAATTTAGAATTTGTAGAATATTAGTAACTACCAAAGATATTTCAGGTGAGTCTGTTAGGGTTAAGTAATTTAGAATTTGTAGAATATTAGTAACTACCAAAGATATTTCAGGTGAGTCTGTTAGGGTTAATTAATTTAGAATTTGTAGAATATTAGTAACTACCACAGAGTTTTTAGATGAACCTGTTAGGGTTAATTAATTTAGAATATGTAGAATATTAATAACTACCACAGAGATTTTAGTCTGTATGTTTCATACCATTTTGTGCAACTTTTAAAAAATTATACTAAATGTGAGGTTGGGGGGCATCTTAGATTTTTTTTTTCATAAATGGCTAATGATGATATGGTTGCAAGAATTGAAGTATGGGAATATCCTGTGGAGAGTGATCACTGCATAATTAGGTTGGAGGTTTGTTTTACATATTGAGATGTAAATAAATGAAATTTTAATTCCTAAGTTTCAGAAAGCCAATTTTAAGGCCATGAGGGAGCTTGGGAAGTTAAAGGATGTATATTTTTGAGCTCAGAGGCAGACTAGGATCCATTTAAGACCATTTTATTTTTTTAATATGGACTTGTGGAGCATGTTTCAGTGGTTCAACAGCAAGTCTGAGGGCTTGTAATGCTAAAACTTTGGTTTCAATACATGCGTGTACACTTGTTGTGAAGTTATAGATTTATGGAATGAGTAACCACTGTAATTAGTGGAGGCCAGCAATTCACGCAAGTTTAAGAGGGGAATCCTGAAAAGTAAGTGAAGGGTTTATATTTTTACTTTTTTTCAAGAGTGACTGTGCAAGGACATTTTTAAAGGACCAAATGTTCCATAGGTTATGTTGATGTTTTTTGGATAAGTATTGTTTTGTTGTTATTACAGTTTACAGTAGTTATTTTAGTCATGATTAGGCAATTTCAGGTTTAATGACTGATATTAAGCGTAATAAGTTATTACTTGATTGTAGCCCTAATTTACTGTTGTTCTGATGTTCTAGTACAAAGTTATGAGTATTAAAGTTATTGAGTATTAGTACATGTAAAGAGATATAATATACTTGGAAGTAATGGTATTAATGTTATTGAATAGAGTATTTTATTATAAATTGTGAAATAACTTAATTAAATATACAATTATTGGTAGGTAGATTAGCGATAAGAGAATAGAGACTATTAAATTTCACTATAGGTAGTCTAAGGATACATGGGATGCGATTTATAGGATGTGGTAGGTTAACAGGAGTGGGTTAGGTTTGAAAATAGTGATATTAAGGAGGCTTAGAAAGACACTACAATTGCAGAGCTTGCTTAAGGAGAAATTGGAGGTTGCTATGGGGAAAATTGCACTATTGAGTGCGAAAATAGTAGGTTGTGAACAGAAATAAAAGAAACAATACAGAAGTTGTATATAGTTAAGGTAAAGTTCCCTTGGAGGGGAGAAAAAGTGTAGAGTTGTAAAACAGAGACAGGTTCAGGTATCAGTGTAATTGATTTGAACCATTACTTCTTATAGTTTGGAACAAGAGGTTTAGTTACTGGGACACACATAAAGTTATATCTAGTGGAAAACATAGAAAGAGTTTTCTTGCCAGGTGTTGAAGCACAGGACATTGTACAGCATGTCAACAATTTAACTTATTAAAGGACAGAGAGGGGCCTGCTGGTCCATCAAGGCTGTCTTATACACTAAATTAAACTTGAAAAAAAAACACCAGAGCTGTTTTGAGGGTGTTGATATATTACAGAATGAATTTAATTAATTTGTAAGTTGGATAGATATTTGGTAAATGACCTATAATTATAGTATCTACAGGGTATTGTATTTGTGTTATCATAATTTGGATCACATGTTTAATGTACATGAGAACCCACTCAGTAGCGTGATTGAAGAAAAGAGTCTCTGGGTATTGATGGATAAGTTACTCAAGCCATTGAAGCAGTGCTATGTTGCTAGTAGTAAAACTAATGGAATTTCAGGGTGTATTTATATTAGTAACCAGTAAAAGAGGTAATTAATTCTGGACAAATAATTAGTTTAGCCTCACTTGGAATATTGGGTAAAGTTTGGGTTACCTTTTCAAAGTGGAAATATTTCAGAGGAGGGTTATTAGGATGATTCTGGGAATGGAAGGGTTATCTTATAGGGATAGGCTAAGATCTAGTTTCTGTTGAGAAAATAAGGGTAAGATGGGATCATATTGAAGTTTTCAAATTATCCTTGGGATTAACTAAATAAGTACATTTGATTTATTTGTGCTGTAATAGAAGACAAGAGGATACAGTTCTTAGATTTATAAAAGACAGCTTAGAGGTCCATTTAAGACAATTTTATTTTTTCTACATTGTTGAAGTGGAGGCTAGAACCTTAAAATAGTTTGAAAGAGGAACAGATTGTCTTGAAAAAATAAAGGATGTATTTAAATTATTATTTTTTCTTGTTCGTAATGTTATGTTTATAATCTGTAAACAAACTGTTGTATAGACTGGTAAAAGCTGCAACTGTACAGAAGGAAAAGATTGATTAATAATTGGGGGTTCAGTACTGGATGTTGTGATTAATTATCCATCTGTTGGGACCTCCTTGAGGGCCCAAAAAACTCCTTGATGTCCTATAACTTATAATACTTAATAATATTTTCACATAAAAGAGAAGTTATGCATTGGGATTTCTTGTGTGTGACAGTACTGTCTGTTGCTACAAGAACACTAGGACATTATGTAAATCAATTTGATCAACTGTGTTAAGTATTGGTATGTGCTTTTATGGGCTCTAATCTCATAAATAGTTTATTTACTGAAAATAAACCAGATGAAAAAAAGTTGTTACTTGTCAACATATAATTTTTTTCTTTCTTTCTTACATGGCACATTTCATTTATAACCATTTTGAATTCTCTTTTTTTTTCTTTCTATAGAACGTTATGAATTCCAATTTGAAAAAGAACTTTTTGAAAATCAGAAGAAAGTGAAAGAAGCTGATGAGTTAAGTGAAAAGTTGAAGTCTCAGTGCTCAAATTTAGGTAGCGTTCTTTTCTGATGGCCAGTTAAAGGTCCTCATTACATTCAATACATGTTTTACGATTAAGTATTGGTAGACACATGTTACTTGAGTGTGTAATAATGAGATTTACCCATGGTGTTTGCATTTAGGTAATGTTTGGGGCTATTTAACCCTTTCCACACGGGTCAACGGTCATTTTATCTCGTTTTATTTATCTACTATTTCATGAATTTATATCAGTAAGTTTGGTATCAAACTGTAGATTATAATTCAAATTTTAGAACAATACATTACTCAATTTGTTAATTTAAAAGTAAATATTAAAAACAGTTGAAAATCGATTTGTATGTGTCACATGGTATATTGAATGCAGCACTGGTTCAAATTTGATGTTTGTGAAGTCAAAATACTAAGTCTATAGTTATATATATGAATTAGGAACTCAAATTAATGATATTGACAAGCTAGAATATAAAATAAGAGCCTCTTACCTTTTCAATTTACTAAGATATTGCTCATGTAATAGATCAGACATAGTGGCACCCCACTCACCTCTTTCCATTTTTTGAAAAGCTCCCTTATATACACTTACTTTTATATAACCAACATGAATAACCAATTGAAAGCTCAGAATGTCTCCCTAGTGGCTATCTTAGCCATTTGAAAGTCTTTTTCTTTCTTTCAAACCAAGATTTCAAGGACGTAGGTTGTGTTGTGTCTTTAGTCGTGCTCGAAATTTCATATATTTTTATAATAATGAAATACAGCTTAGTTACTGAGCTTGATAAATTATAGTAGAATTCTTTTGTATTGATATAGTAATTTATGATTTTTTGGTTATCCAACTGTGCATATAAAACCTAAAAAAATATTTCATTTCACATCCTCCATGTGTGAAATTATAAAAGGCTTAGCAACCTACGTCAAGTATCAACCGAGTACAAAGGTCGTAACTAGAAGAGATAATTGTTAGCTTAGCTTCTTTATTTACTGTTCTATGTTTTAAGAAAAATAAGTTTAAGAACTTATTTCAAAATAGCAATAATCAATATACATATATAATGTATAATAATTGAAATGTGACTATTTTACAAAATACTAGTCTACTAAAACACAACCAAGACAGATCACTTTGTAAATACTAATGGATACAGTAACATGAGTGCACATGTGCCATGTCATTGTAACTTCTGTGTTGTAGCCAGGCATGGCTGAAAGGTCAATATAATAAAAATAGTAAATATATATAAATGTATAATGTAATGAGATTTAAGCTCTTTATTTTAAATATTTATGTTTTCTCATTATAATTTGTTGTCATTCTAGAATGAAAGAGGCATCATTTATATTTATTTTCTAATTTTTTATGTTGGTTATAAGATTGGTCAAATCTCCCAAACCCATACAGAGATTCATTTACTGAAAATAACACATAAAATATAAAGTTTTTTCTTAAGAAAAGTTTGATAACTATCTGGAGATCATAAAGATTTAGCGTGTGAAGTTTGAACATTTTCTGATCCATAACAGTATTTTTCATCTTAAAATGAAAATTACTTTGCATGTTGGATGGGCAACATGAGAAAAATACTGCTTTAGAAACCTTAAGACTTAATGAAAAAAATTTGATATTTTGCATATAAAAGCATTGTAATTCTTACTGACAATCTGCCAAATTTTGTTAACAAATGCTTACTAATTTAAAAGTTATGGCATGAAAGCTATAACAAGCATAAAATGGTTACGAGGTTGGTCCCAGGGACCGAGTCTGTGCTGAAAGAGTTAAAGGTCCTTGTCTCATCAGTACATGTTTTCTGGCTATGTAAGCATGTTTGCAAGTATTTAATAATGAAAAAATTCAAAGAACAACCCAAAAGCTTATGAGTTTTCAAAAAATTTTCTTTCCTTCATTATGATTAGCATCTTTATTGGCACCCTAAAATTTATAGTTTTTAAGCTTTCCTCGAAAACATGAACATTTTAGGATTTTGAACTGATGATAATGTCAATTCTAACTTGCTGTAAGGAACTGATGGTTTATGGAAGTGGTTCTTTGTTTCAAAATAACTATTGATTTAGTATGAATGCCAGTCTCAAGTTGAACTGAATATTTCCCCAATGTTTTTCCCTAATTTTCTCATTGACACAAACCTAAATTTTTCACCTTACTAGCTCTAATTTATCTATAAAACTTGTTTTCTTTGACTGAAAATTTTGGATGAAAACAACTTCTTGCTGAGGGACAGTTTGATGTTTACTGGTGCATATAAATTTTTTAACTGTAAACTTGGTAAGTAGGCCATTTTAACGAAATGCTTGTTTTGTATGATAGTTAAGTGATATCAAATAATTACATTTAAGAGATGTGTAGGGTGTTGAAGTGAAACTACATATTTTCCCATACATAGAAATGCCAGATTTCTAAAGAAATATTTGACTTGTTTTATAGAGGAGAAATATTGTCAGAGCCAAGCTGAAGTGGAGAATCTGAGAGAAACCCTCAGACCACTTCAGAATGAATTGGAAGTTGATGCATAGTTTTGGACTTATTCTGTTCAATTTCATCATTTCTTGTAAACGTGTTCAGATAAATTTGGGATCTATATCAAAATGTATG